TAAATAGATATATAACTAATAATAAGACAACAAACAAAAAAATTAAAAAATTACAGCTATTTAGCCCTAAGTTATACGACCTAGGGAGCCGGCGTTCGTTTGTAGGGCTCTGCGGCAGAGTTTACCACCAAACCAGGACCAGGAGAGCAAGCGCATTCGATTTCCTCCACACTATCTACAGTCTTGTCCCTTTGATCCAGAGCTTTTGAGTCTAACCCTACAGCCCTAAACCCATTGCTGGATGCCAGGTTCAGGGTCGATGGTGCAGTGCTGCGCACACGACTTTCTGCAGCCCAATCGTAGAACTCGGCTGCACACTGCAGAGGCAGGTGGAATCACAGCACCGGGGTCTGTAAAGACTCCTAGCAGTTCCCCAGCCCTCCCCTTCCCAGAATGCGAACCTTTAAAGCCTCGTAGGGTTTAGGGTTTAGGGACCCGTTCAAGCCAACGAAAGATGCATCAACCCGCAAGCGGACAGTTCAGCACTCCCACTCCCAATAGCCCGCCAGCTGGCCGCCAGCCTTCTGTGTGATCTCCTGAGTGGCTTGTTGGTCCAGCATGTCCTTCGAAGACTCCTCCTTGATCTCAGTTTTCACTTTCTGTCTATTGTTCGTCGAGTCCTCTTTCACCTCTTTCTTCACGTCCTTTCGCTGCCCGGAACTTAAGATTGCTCAAACCGTGGAACGTGAATGCCAACTTGCATGTATTCGGGCCATACGGTAGATCCTACTGCAGCCTGCTGTATGTGCAATCCTACTAGCCGCGGCTCACTGTGTTGCGGATCTCATAAACTCCATGAATCCAGTCGGTCTGTTGTTGCCATCAACCCTAGACGGCTGGAGGCCACGAGAAACACGCTGTCTGAAATCAGAGTGGGGTCGAATCTCTTAATAACTTAATGCCGACACCTGATAAGCAACACCAACCCTCCCCGACCTTAAAATGGGATTGTACTGGTGATCCTCATAGTAGAGCCGACAAAGAGAATGGTATATAAATATATCAGAAAATGCACAATGCATTCCATTATTCGTTGCAGAGCTCAAGTTCGGCTTCAGTCTTCGGGCTGAAGTTGGCCCAGAAATGGCAGTGAACAGCATCCAGTCACAGAGTCATGTAGCACAACCATGCAGATGAACCCAAAATGCGAAAGCTACACCGTAAATCAGGTCTGACAGTCCCAAAACAGAAGGAGCAACAAACGCAAGCGGGCAAAGGCTTCGTCCAACCCGCCTCCTTGACTTCCAGCTTGGTCTTGGCTGCTGTATGAGCATATTTTCTTCGCTCCTGCCGCAGGAGCGAACCTTCCAAACTCTTTAGGGCTTCTACTTTCAGCTTGTGTAGCACACTTTCCGGAGCCATATGATTCCGGTTTCTCTTTTGCAAGGTTTTGGGGCTTACGCTTTAGGACTTCACCGATACTTCAAGCAGCACGGACAAAAAAGACAATTGATTCGAAACGACTGCATTGGAGTTGGGTTTCAGGTGCATGACAAATCAGGTGCAGCAAGTTCTTAGTAGCCCAGTCTCCTAGGCGAAACGAAGGCTAACTCTTTGGAGTATATAGGGATTATGTTAAAGGTTACCTGAAAACATACTCTATATGACTAAGAACCCTCATATAACCCTTATTGAAACCCTTATAGTACCCCAACAAGGTGCAAGGATACCTAAGGACCTACTCTACTACGAAGAGTTCCAAGTGGCTTCAAAAGACTGCCAAATTTTTGGGCCGCAGCGGGTACCGTGATCACAGAATCCCAAAACATCTCCGAGCAAAGTGACCATCTCAACGGCGTGCTCGTCGCGAGCTGTGCTAGGACGGTTTAGGGTTTAGGGCTGACGGTTGAGGGTTTGTAGGACTTTCCTTTTTGTCACTTAGTGAATTAGTGCCGCTCAGGTTTCTTTGAAGTTAAGGCAGCGGACCAAGTTTAGCAGGGGCTCAGCCCTAGGCCCTAAACAAGGCCACACCCCGGCTTTCAACACTTTTCGGAGCGACTGACTGGTCTACCTGCCACGTACGACAATGTAAGACATACACCCATCGCACATCGGCCTCAACTTCTTGCTTCACTTCATCCTTCACCTCCAGGCTCAGGGTTCATGGGTGTAGGATTGGAACTTTTAGGGCTTGGGAGTCAGGGTTTAGGGTTGCAGGCTTGTTTAGGGTTCTGGGTTCAGTGTTTGACTTCGGGCCAGCAGTGATGGTCTGGGGCAGGTATGTTCGGAGTAGGGAGGTTTGTGCGTACAGAGTGCCCTTCATGAGGATGCCTCTTCCCGGCTTTAAGGCGCAAGGTCAAGAAAGACAGATTGCAATAATTGTGATGTTATACTTCTTAACAAAGCCCTCGATCATATTCTATAGACAGCTACTGGAAGAAAGACGAGAGCCATAAAGACAAGCACACGTTGTCCACCTGCCTGGAGCTCCTCTTGGACGTCTTGGGCTTCGGCTTTACTTTTGCCCGCCAGCTTGTCTGCCTCACGACAGAGCACGGATTCTACACTGAGAGGGAATACCGCACACCAACGTCGAGCTTTCTGGAGGGAGGCGGGTTGCCCAAGCTGAAAACGACGCATCCTGGTGTTCAAGCTGTCGGGGCCCAGTGCGGAACTATCATCTTACATTACAGTTGAAAGAGAAAGCGGCCTTAGGGTTCAGGGTTTAGGGTTTAGGGTTTAGGGCTTAGGGCAAAAATGCTGCGCGGCAACACAGCAGCAGTGTTTCACGATCCACACATTCAACCCTAAGGCTTCGAAATTTGGGCCTCGCATCCTCAAACCCTTATACCTTTTGATGGGTTATGAGTTAGTGACTCATGTTTCAGAAGTCCAGGTTTACATTGAAACTCTCTTGGGACTGTGGGGATGGGCGGTAGGTTTAGAGTCAGACCTAAGATATGATTGCTCCCCTGGAACCCTAAGCCGCGGATCCGTTATCGCAACCCCTGAGACCCGAATGTGTCGATTCTACAGTCATGGAGAAACACAAACAACCTCGAAACCTTGGGGTGTAGAGTTTAGGATTTAGGAAATTTAGGGACACATCACCCTAAACCCAAATTTCTGCAACCTCGATCGGGGCAGACTTGGTGTGCGGGGCCTTCCGCAGCTGTGGACGAGGCTTGCGTGGCTTCGCAACTTTCACCGACAGAACGACCACCTCAGCGCCCGAAACCCCTCGAGCCCTACAGACCCTGTCCCTGAAGGTTTAGGGTTTAGGGTTTAGGGTTTAGGGTTTAGGGTTTGGGGTTTAGGGTTCTGAAACCTGAACGCCTATACCCTGACGCCCTAACCGTACGAATCAAGGCCTTTCGTCTGCTTAGGGTTTACAGCAATCCCAGCGGTTCCAAGTGCTTCTTGCTTTAGTAATTTTGCAAGGCTTAGGCTTAGGCTTCGACTTTGGATCCATGTTTAGTAGAAACAACCCATGAATATCGTCTGATAGGACCTTTGGGTTTCATAAGGTTTTCGGAATCGAACTCTTACAGCAAACAGAAGCCCACGGAGTCCGTACACACCTATGCAATACCCTACCGAACCCAATAGACTGAATCTCTAAACCCTAAACCCCACTAAACCCTAAACCCTAGACTGAATCTCTACATCCGACAAGGACCAATAGCCCTCAGACATGGAAACTCAGAATCCTAGTATATACCACCAACCCGAAACCCAGAACCCAAGTTGCCGTGGCTTAGGGCCTAGTAGGGTTTAGGGCTTAGGGCTTAGGGCTTGGAGTAAAGGGGTCCTTAATCTCCTAGCCTGCTTGTGTGGATTCGGATCTTGATTGGATTTTGGAACCCACAGGGTACCCTACCCATCTCTTAGCATACTTTACCATGAATGCAGCTCAAGCATCCTAAAACATAGTGGCCAAAACAATCAACATTCCCTCGGACTGCCAGGGCGTCTGGTGTCAGCGATGCTTTACTATATACTCACTGCCGCCAACCTTAAACTGTTGGAGATTGTACAGTGGAGGGACCTTGTCGGATCGGATGAAGAATCTGGTGCTGGCCGGCCATGGGTTTGCGAATTTCTGGAACGGTGGACTTTATTTCTGATGCTTCTATAAGCGTAATTAATACCCCTGACCTCATTTCACGCATGGATACTGCATGCACCTTGGTGCGATGAATCGGTGATGCTGCAGGCAGGCTTGGTGTTTATAGAGTTATGCAAATCCTTTCTGAAAGGGTCCTGCAGTCGCACTCTCGATGGGCGGACCCTGCAACCCAAGCTTGAACTTTTGGGGCTATAGACTTATACGGCAGTAAGAGGTCTAATAAGGAATGCTGAAAGATGTATTTACTAGGTTTGTCTATAGCGTCTTGAGACTTAGAGTGCACCGCAAAATTGGAAGATGGGGTAAGACCATAAAGGCTGGGATTTCCAACATTCGGCTTATAGGCATGATGATAAACATGTTCTAACTTGCTGGCTTCTACTCTTACATGATAAACTTCCTGACCTATGTAGATCCAAGCTGTCGTGGTTGAGTGTTCTTGCTACCTACAAAGGATCAAACAAATCTTGAAATACTTGGGTCAAGCAGCCCCAAACCCTCTACTTTCCTAAGACCACCGCAGTAAACATAGCCAAACCTATTAGAAGAATCCGGCTGAAGCGCCGCGAATCATGTTCAGGAAAGTCGCATCCACGGAGGCCATCACAGGGTCTCTTGCAACAGTGGAATCTTGAGCCGCTCTGCTCAGCCACCACGATTCAGGCTGTTGATTTGGCGTTTAGCGTTGCAGGTTTAGGGTTTAGGATGTGTTGGGGTTTTCGGATTGAATGTTGCGAGTTGCCGCGCCAAGCAGTATCATGAATGTGAGATTGAAACTTCTTGCTCACCCGAACAATCCTACACCAGAAGCACCTGAATTCTTCAGTACAGAACATTTTGGTTTAAAGTGTAGGGTTTAGGGTTATCGAAGCCTTCAGCATTGACAGCGGTTCCACTTTTTAAGCTTCAAAGATTCCGGAATTCACCATAAAGGGTTAAAGGCCATGGGGTGAATTCAAAACAGAATCGAAGCGGCTTTCCACTGACACTACGCCTCAACAGATACCATGTCCCAACACACAAACGTAATGTGAAGGTCGGTGGGCTGTCCTGTTGCTGGATGTAGGATTCTAGCATTCTACCTGTAGCAAGTCGTTGAGATCCAAAGGAAGCGGCCGTGCCCTGCATGGTATCACTCGCACTTCGGAGTTTGGTCGGCGCACTGCACACACCCGTTATTGAGGATGACACGGACTCTTACTCTCCGCCTTGGTACAAAAAGGCACAGCACCGAAACGCCCTTCAAGCCAAACCGCCACGCAGTGCAGACTCAAGCGAAGCTTCGATGGGGCCGGGGGGTCATCGTAGGGTCCTTGCATAAGCACAACACTGTCTGCTTTTTCGAGGTGGCTGAGCACGAGATGAGCATGCGGATGCACACATGCAAAGTCGAAGTACAAGCCTTCGAATGCGGTGCGGGACGTGGATGGGATCCATGCTTGCCTAAGTTGTGCTGTGGTAGGTTTGCGGGCGTGCAAAGAGCGAGCGAGCAGGAAACAAATTCCGAGTAGCTACAAAATCGAAGATAGGCTGTGCAAGAGAGAGGATCCCGGTCCACGGATAATGCCTTTATTGGCGTAGTTCACTCCTCTATACACGTGCAGAATGGCCTGAACATGCAGCTGCCACGAAAGACTGCCGCTAGTACTACAAAGAATTGGAGACTCGCGTCTTCTTCATCGCTTCCGGGACTGTGCAGCCCGCTCCTTCTCCTTCTCCTGCTGCTTGCGCCAGGCCACCGCCTGCTTCCAGGCCTTCTCCACCTCCTTCGCCGAGAAGTCCTTGGGCTGCACGACCAGCTCACGGTGCTTGCCATCAACTGTGCACTGGGCTCGCCAGCCCTGTGCTGACGTCCTCCAGTTGATGCCCTTCTCGGGCCCGAGAGGCTCGAAGTGAGGGATCTCCGAGAGCGGCTTCACCGGCACCAGCTCCTCCTGCAGCCCCAACTCCTGGGCCAGCTCCCGCGCCCGGGCCTCGGCCTCCTCCTTCACCTTGAACATGCCACCGTGCACTCTCTTGTTGGTGGAAGGGTCTGTAATTTGAACCTGGAAGGTTCCTTTGCTTTTGTTGTACGCAAGGCCCCTCACCGTGGAACCGGAGGCCTTCTCCGTGACGGGCTTCGGCGGCTTCAGCTTCCCCTGGCGCACGAGCTCCTTGCGGAAAGCCTTGGCCTCCTCGAGGGCCGCCTCCGAGGCCCCGGCCTCGCTGAGGCCCAGCTTCATGTGCTTGGAGATGGGGAACTGCCGAATCTGCCGCTTACCCCCTTCTTGCCAAGAGACCCGCCAAAGAGCCATCAGCCTGTTCCAATAAATTCCTTGGATGCCGCTCTGGCGCTCCAGGCCGCGGAACTTCTTCGTGACGACCTGGCCTTCCTCGGCTCTGGGCTCGGCTCTGCTGGATGGCTCGTCGGGTTCCGGGACGGAGCCCATGGACTCGAAGATCTCCAGGCCCTGCATGGCGGAGCCCCCTCCGGTCGGGGAGAGCTTCATCATGCCGTCCTCCACGAGTAGCCAGCCATTGCCGGCCCAAGCTCGCGTGGGAAGGTCCCGCATCCAAGGCCACATCTTCATGCACTCAGCTGCTCGATGCTGATTGCCGGTGGAGCTCCTGTGGTCCTGTGGCCTGGATCCAGCGGTGGTCTCCGTCTGTCGTTCGCTGCTTGGGTGACTGCTGTCATTGAAGAGGGCATGGTGTGGATTCTCGCGGTAGAAGTCGCGCAACTCTCTGAACTGCTCTTTGCCGAGGAGCTGCACGCATGAAGTTGTCTCGCCTCTTACACATCCTTGCCACGGAGCTGCCGCCAATCCGAGAAAGGGGCTGGCCGGGCAGCAGGGCTTCGTGGGGAGCCACGTCTTGCCAGAGGATTGAAATGCTAGGCATTTCTCGGCCCACTCTGTCAGTCGCGACTCGAAGGATGGAGCTGAGAGGTCCGGACTCTTCTGGCTCAATCGACGCCTCTTCGGCCCAGGCTGCTCGAATTTCTCTTGCTTGACTTGCACTTGCTGATGATCATCCATGTTCTCCTGCTTCACGCTAGGCCTCAGCTGCAAGGCAACATCAACAAGTCCGCAAGCAAATCGCAAGTAGAAGAGACTGCAGCCCAATCCCGAGTTCTATACATTTGCAACAGCACAGTTCTTAGACAAAACCTCGAACATTGCACTATAACAGGCTACGTAGAACCGACTACACCACGGCTGACTCGAGCTACACCTTTTTAGGCTCAAGCATCGAGGCACGATGCCGTCGACATGGAAACGAACAAGCTCAACTGTGCCTTCCTACGAGCTCGTGCAAGGGAGGGAATCTGTGCAACGGACAGAATACAAAGGGCTTAATCGGGCAGGAGAGACTGATGTCGGTGCACGTCCTCCTTGCCCAAACGCAGCAAAGCTGAACCCAGAAAGCTACGGGCGGGAGCTCCTGTCACGCAGATGACGTGACGAGACCGATAACTGAAGGCGCAAACCCAAGCTTCCTACTGCGCAGTTGGGTTTTACGGTTTATATAAGGTTTGTTTAGGGGTTTAGAAAGTTGTGTAAGTGTCTTCGATTGAGATCCAGGGATTCTGAAAGCCGCCAAGCTACAACTGGCTTGGCCACTTCTGGTCCTCCTGACGGGGGGAGAAGGGACAATGACGGTGCATGTGAGGTTGCATGAGTTCGTCAATGATCCTGTTTGTATATGCTCCTGCAGACTCTTGCACGGCTAGACCCATGAAGGCTCGTAGCCACCTGATCGAAAAGATGCTATATAGCCCGAATCCGTAGACCCCGAACGACAGTCGCAGCTCTTAATTCCTGTAGCGATCACCCCGGACCCGAATTCGAAAATCCAGGCCCTCCAAGGCAGCATCGCCAAAACACATGGCCAGCTCCTATTGACGAAAGTACCACAGCGGAAAAGTATATCACAATCAGACAATAAGAGTCTCACAGTCTCATCGCTTCGTTAAAGCAATTAGTTCGATCTAGAATCGCACGACAGAGTAAGGCCGGACAACATTTAAAGCTTCTAATATAACTGGAGTCACTGTACTCCAAGTGTAGAAGGTATAGAAAACAAGGCAATTAGCAATGATTGCTACATTACGGATAGAGACGACACAAGACAAAGAAGCAGCAGAAGCTGCAGCAGCAACTGCAGCAGCAGCAGCAGCAGCAGCAGCAGCATCAGCAGCAGCAGCAGCAGTTTTTGGTACGCGATGCCCAGTAAAAGCGTGAATCTCAGAAGCACCAAAACGTAAACTCTTAGCAATGCAAGCAAAACCCGAAATACCGAGCCGGCTGAAGCCCTGCGAATGAGTCAGAAAAAGCTGGTCCTCCTGCTTCACTTCATGCTTGATCTCAGCCTGTACCTTCCAAGTAAGATGAATAGCAACTGGACATGGGGACTTCGATTTCTGCTGCTAGAAACCCAGAGTCAGAGCTGGTATGTTTGCATAGAAGTAACTAACCCTTAATCCGATCTGATACTCATGATCTCTGTGCACACGAAGCCTCAAACAGCAACAGCAACTCCACGAGCTTCACATGATGAATCATGTGTGCTTTCCGCTTCTCGACGGCCCCCGATCCCATTCTCAAGGCGACAAGCTGTCGCGACCTGAATAAATCTGCCTGGACACGAGGTGATCCGGGTTTAGGGTTTAGGCAAAAGGATGCATGACTCATCGCAGTACGAGAAAACTCCTGCACCATACAATGTATGCATTGAAGACGTCCGTGCTGAGCACTGTGCATCCCTACTGCAGACTCAGTTCTGTCGACCAGGTTGGAAACCAGACAAACGCAGCAGTTGTCAACAAGGTTGGAAACCATCAAACTCAACAGGCGTAGCCACTTAGGCGCAACCTGGGCCGGGCACCCGAATCCTGTATCGGAAGTTCAGAAAACAACATCCGGACGCCGGATGCCTGAACAGAAGCTGGCATGATGATCCAGACACATGTAATACATATACACACCTATATGTAAACGTATATATATATATATTAATAAATATAGATGTATATATATATATATATATGTATGTGTGTATATATATATATAAATGTATATATGGTCGCCCCCCCCCCCCGTTGACAGACCATGCCCTTTCAACTGAGTCGATGCGCATGGTC